AAAATTAGTGCACCCTCAAAGAATGTATGCCCTCAGCAGTGTGCAGGGAAATGCAATCTAATACCAGAATGCAGTCTCCTAAATACCTTGGGCTTTTGTTACAATTGAAATGTCCAGAGTTCAATTAATAACAATTATAGAAGAAGTTCAGCAAATGACATAATATACTGCAGAGAAAGAGAGCTAATGTTCTGGACAGCAATTATATTATCCTTCATTTAGATTTGCTATGGAGTTCTGTCACTGAGATTTTAAATAGGCATTCTGGAGAGAGTTTTTCAATTATGTGACAGACCAGACTTATGAATAGGATTCACCTTTTTATGTCTTATGCTTTGCTGATTAAAAAAACTTCTTAGACTCTAAGGTGAATTAGTCAGGATAGAGTATACTGAAAAGCCACTTTTAACTTTCAGCAGAGGCTGAACCAAGTATCAACCAGATCCTTCTGAAACTGGGAAAAGTGCAGACCACAGTCTTTTGCCTGCCCCATTATTTTTCATTTTCACATGTCTTTGTCCTCCTGATCTGGCTGGAACAGCAAGTGCTCACAGTAGTCAGATAGGACAGCTGCCCTGTTAGCCTTTAACAAAATAAAACCAGACAGATAATCAAATGTTAGCCTCCTGAGAGCATCCTGTAAGCCATGAAAAAAACTCTTGTTCTTATCATTCTCACAGAATTTCCATCCTGCCTGGAGAAAAAGGGAAACGACAAAAAGAAAAGTGCTCTTTGCTATATGATTTGAAAATATGGGAGCACCTACATTAGCAGGCTGATTTGCCATGATTCATGCCAGGGGTCTTGTCCTCTAATCATGAAATATGGCTTTGGCTACATTGGCAAACACAATGGTGTTACAGAAGAAAGTCTTCTGAGATAATTTGTGGCTGCTGAGGATCAAACAACAATTTTGAATGTTTTTATTTTAGAGTAATGCTAATCCTGTCCCCCAGGCTGAAGACCCATTAGCATCAGAACAGAGGAGGTTCCAGCACTCCTGCAATTCACATTCTTTTAGCTGCCCCCTAAAGATGCTGCAAATATCTCATATGCTCTAAGGCCTCTCTGTCTCACACAGTCACAGTTATGCAGCCCTCTTCCTGTTGGTCACCATATTCAATAGCAAAGCCCACTGTCTTGAAAGATGGGAAATCCATGGTCCTGAGAAATGCAGTGGCTGTGGCCTTCATTTTCTGTGATATTTCCTGAAAGGTGGGGGGGGAGGCTGAGAAAAAAATTTTGTACTTTCAAACAGCAGAAGAGGAAGAGTGTTGATTTATAACCTGAGAAAGAGAATGGGGCAAGGAAGTATTTACCTTCTGTTTTCTGACTCTCATTGAAATGCTTCAAGGTCTCTTGAAATGTACTAGGAAGGCCAAGGAAATTTGTGCAATTTGAAGAGATCTCTCTGCACCTAAACACTTCAGCCTTGCTACTCTGTATCTGCCCACACTTCAACATGTTTCACTTCATGGTGGCATAAAAGGAGAAGGGAAACAAATGCTAATTGTAAAGGATGTAGTTCTATACCTTCCAACCCTCCTGCTCTCCCGTTTTTTCCTCATTTTTTTCCCCACATTCATGGTACTCTACTTGAGATTATTTCTCCCATTGAATTTTTAAATGCTGCTAAAGTCATACTGTTAGTAATCATTTTAATGAATAACATAAGTGAGTGAGCAGTTAAATCAATGTATCGAAGATGAAATCTTAATTAAAATGGTATTTAGCTATGAGAAGTGAGAGTTTTATAATTTATTTTCTATTAAGATGTTGACCGTTTCACTGAATGCAATTATTGTGTGTTTTTAATCATGATATGAAAGCTACACTGAAGTGATGTTTCTACCTCTTTCTGTTCTTCTTGCTTGGAAATTTACCACATTTAGCTTTAAAGGTACATTTTAAAAGGTCAATGCTAAAATGTTTGTATTCATTTTCTTTGTTCTTGAGATGCTTTTTATAGCAGATGCAACAGCAGGCTACTGTGCTATTTGTCATACCATTCTTGAATTTTATTACACAGTAAACATTCAGGTAGGATTAGATGTGAAAGTTTATTGCATATTTAAAGCCACTTTTTCTGATTTGTCCTATGAAAAATGTAACTCTTTTCAGTTGTGCTGTTGTTTCAAAATACAGTGCATCTGATTGCACTTGCATTTGTGAATGCTCATTTACATGCACATAAATTGTAGGAGCAAGGTAGACACAAGTGCACTTTGTGCATCCACAGTTAGGGTCTGCATGTGTAACTTCACCAAAAATGTACCAAATAAATCTACACTCTTGAGGAATGGCTGCAATAGTCCTTCAGCTCTTGCTATTATATGAACTTTTATTTCTATGGAGGGCAGAATCATTTTCTCTTCTCTCTTCATGCATAGGTGGTTTGAATACTGCCCTACCACTCTCAGGTGGAGAATATGATTGCAAATAAGAATTCAAACACTGTTGTTAGGTAGCTGCTCCAGAATCAAGTGGGTGATGAGTATCAGCAGGTCTGGATAATTAATTGTCCTTTAGTTTATTATCCTATATCAGCGTCTCCTTTTGACACTCATTTGTGTGGTTTTTTTTTATGTTATGTTTGTTGTTGTTGTTCTACAGAAATTGGAGAATATCTAACAAGATTTTTTTCATCCTCATGTTTTCTTCTCAAAGTTTAAGATTCATTTAATTATTACCATTATTTAGTTCTTAACCTTCCAAGTGTTTGAACCTATTTTTTTCAGCCAGTATTTTAGTGATGGAAAATTTTCTTTTCCTTTAATTTCAGCTAGACTTCTATTGTTTATACTAAAGTAACATGAAAATTCAGATTTGGGACTATCCAAAACCAGCATGTTCTATGTCATCTCTACATCACTGTTCTTCTGTCATTTGAGAAACCTCATTGGTGCTGATTTTATTTCAAACTATTTTTAATGGCACTTTTGTTCTCCTTAGCATTCTAATGTCAGAGATCTAATGATTACTTTTTTTTTCCCCTTCTTTTGCACTATTCAAGCGACATGTCATTTTAGCTCTAATCCTCTATTCCTTTAGTGCTAGCAGTCTGCTGGACCTGTACAGGAGGGAAATTGAATATCTTTAAATCTTTGTTCCAAACCATTCACACAGAAGTTTGTTTTTTTTTTCTTCCAGAGTACTAGCAGTATTACTACTTACATCAAACTTTCCAAGAAGTCACATTAGTTAAACAACATCTTAATGATGAGATTAAATTTTATAGAGTGGTAAGAGTTGAAATGGCTCCATAAACTTTGGAATCGAAGGCAGGGGGTTAGTTCATTGGTTGTTTTGTGAAACATAGCTGATTTGAAGGGTCAATCCACAACAAACATAAAGACCACAGCCGTTTATAGAGCGGAAGGACTTCACAGATAGAGGAAGACCTGGAGAGGGGCTGAGATTCCCCCAGCAATGAGTACAAAGCAGAGCCGCTACCACCAGCTGCAGCAGGGCTGCTTCTGTGCTCACTGCAACAAATGCTCCTCTGAGCTCATGCCTCTGCTATCATGCCAGGATGCTGCGTTAATTCACCAATAAAGAGACCTTGGGTCATGCAGTAATGTGTGCTTTTACCTTCTGCCAGCACCCCCAGGACTGGCTATTAATTTTCAAGTCGTTGAATTTTCACTTAATGTACTGCAGCTCTCTGAAGTGTGGCAAATTTCGTTAACCATTAGAGCAGCTGTAAACTGTATGCCTAAAACAGTAAAGGGATGATGGTGCATCGAGGAGAAGAACCCAACTCAAAACACTACTCTCCATCAGAATAATCACTGAATGGGGGATTATTTACGATGTGATACAGCTGCGTTTTTGACTTAAAAGATGACTACGACAATAAAACAGGTTGTTCTTCCCGCAGAGCTAATTGCTCCAGGAGTGCCCCATTGACAGCTGAATGCTGGGACTCTTCCGGGTCCGGGGAAGTTTGGGGAGGAGATGCAGGCCCCCCCCCCATGAGAGCCATGAGAGGAAATACGCGTTATCAATGCCCTGGTCCCGCCGAGATGTAGCCACCCGTTCTCCACCGCCGGAGGCTTCTGCGGGTGAGGAACAGCCGCAGAGTTTCTGCTACTGCACCATCGTGCAGATTTGCAAGGTTCAGAATTATTATTCGAATACTTTTCCCCTCAGGTCTCCCAAAAAAGGGAGGAGAAGGAAGCCATAAGGAGAGGGAGAAAAAAAAAGAAAAGAAAAATAAAAGAGGGGGAAAATAGGGGGAAAAAAAAAAAAAAAAAAAAAAAAAGAGGGGAAAAAGGGGGCGTTCTGCGTTTTCCGCGCATCCTCCGCTTCCCCCCCGGGGGCGCTCCGCGGCCGCGCAGAGCTATCAGAAGCCTCCGAGTCTTGCGCAGCTCTCCTCCCCCGGCTGCGCGCAGATTCCGCACTCACCCTTACGCGCCGAGAGGGTGGCCATCATCCAGTGGGGCGGCAGGGGAGGCGGAGGGGAGGGCCCCTGGGGACGAGCTGGAGTAGGGGATCCTCCATCCCCGAGATTGCTGCCGCCCTCCCCCCAAATCTGCCGGCCCGCGCAGTTCCCGCTGGGCTCCGCGCACGTCACCCCCCGGGGCTCTCTTCCCGGCGGCGGGGCCGAGGGTGCCTCTCGCAACGCTCCCGTCCTCTGAGTACGGAAGAAAAACGCTAAATATATGCTCGTGGCTTTAAATGCACATTTAATATTTTATATATTCCTCATTTATACATACTAAAGATCTGTTTTATTTCTCTCTTTGGAGAAAATAACAAATCAATGCCACCCTTTTCCCCCAAGCATGTTTCCCTTCTAGTAAAGCAGGCTCCACCTCTGCTAGGGATTGATTCGCCCGGCAGTTTTTAGGATAATTTATGGAGCAACCTGATGAGCCTATTGGGCGAGTTGCTCCGTCCTTGTAGAGTGGGTTCCTACCTGTTTGGGTGTTTTATTTATTTATTTATTACCCTCCCCCCTCCTCCCTTTCCCCACTGTGTACCACTCGGGGGGGGGGGGCGGTGGGATCGGCAGGGTCGCTGTTCCCGAGCCTCTCCGGAACAAAGTCGGGGACGGGAGAGCGCCCGCACGCCCATGGACGCGTGGGGGGTGCCCGCATCCCGTTGGAGTCGCTGCCGCGGGGCTCGGCTGCTGCTGTTGCTGCTCACCGTGCGCCTGGGGAGCGGGTGAGTGCGGGGAGCCGGGTGGGGGGTGCCTTGAGGAGGGAGGAGGGGGGTGTGCTGCGAAAGTGAAAAATGCAGCCAAATAATGGAAGGAATAATAATTAAAAAGATCCTCCGACAGGTTGCGGGAGAAGAGGAAACCGGCGAAGTAAAACTTCTGCCGCATCCCACTTGTTCGGGGGAGAGTTTCGCACCGGTCTCCCCGTGCAACAAGCTGCCCCCGCCGTCGTGCTCCCGCGTTTCCCTGGAGGTTCTGGCTACGCGCTGCGGGGCTGCGAGCGGCGGCTGCGGGCGAGAGAGTGGGCAGTGCGTGGTCGGGGCTGCCGCCCCTGTCGTGCACGGCCCCAGTAGAGGGATTGGGCCCACTCGTGCCCGGCTCCGTGCAGTTGGTGACGATCGGTTGGGGCGGTGGATAAGTTGCTAAATTGAAGTGCTGAAGGCACAACAGTTGGGTGCTGTTGCGTAAATGTGTTATTAGTATCCACGAGAGAGATCTGATTTTTCAACTCCATTAATAATTCAGTGATAACGTGCATCATTCCACAGGTTATACTCATAACAATCACGCGGCAGTGTTGAGTATTCAGCTGTCGCTCAGTCTTTTTGAAGGAAGATCAAATTATCATTCCAAGAGGCTAAAGGAGATGTGGCAAAAAAAAAAAAAATCTATAAACAATTTTATTTTATTTTTTTCCCTACAAGCCTATTAGAATGTAAATCCCTTTCTCAAACTGACTGATCTTGTATCAATCTCTGTGAAGTATGTTGATCTCAGAGCATCTCTAGAAGGCTGCTGTGTTATCCCAGTTAGAGACACCACTGATTATACTTTTCTTATTCTGTCTTTTAAAACCTTGTCATATTATGGAAATGTTTTTCAAAAGCATTGATGGAAATTATACCAGTGCAGCTGTGCATTTCAGAATGTTCTTAATGAACATGTTGTACCTCAGGTATGAAATAATTATCAAGCGGTTTGAGAGAAAAGAATCTGCATGCTAATTGATCAGTTCAAAGTCTTGGCTACAGGGAGGAGGGCTAGCAGAAAAAAAAAAGTTACTTTTTCTTTTGTCAAAGTGGTTGTGATTACAGGACTAAGTGTAGATTGTTATGTATACATCTCATTAATAGTAGCAGTTATGAAGAAGTCGATGAGAAGTTTTCAGTGAGAAAAAGAGGAGACTTGTAAATGTTATTTTGTTCTGTGCTTCGAACAACTCAAATAAAATGTAACCTTTAGTATAAATATGCATATATCTGAATGAACACTTTTCAGCCTTGCCTTTCATTCAGAGGCTACATAGGAAAATGGTGACTATTGAGAGATTTCTGTTATTATTTTAAGTGGCCGCAAATGGACATGCTTTTCAGATCCTGGTTCTCTGATGTGTGCTGCATTACATCTCTGGGCATTTGCAGAGAGCTCAGGAGCTTCTACGCCTTTTAGCAGCCTGCCACAAAGTAGGATGGAAACACTGTTCTGCTTTGGAACAGGAAAGCAAAAAGCTAGAGCTTTTCCTTGAAGTTCAAGCAAACACATATAGAAGCAACTCTCTCAAGAATAGGCTGGGCTGGTTTTCCAAAAACCATCCTGAAGGAGCTAACTCATCTTTCAAGATATACTTTTAAAAGGTTGCAAATTGCGGTTTTCCTGTGCATTTCACAGAATCATAGAATGATTTGGGTTGGAGGTGACCTGAAAGGCCACCTGATTCCAAAACTCCACTGATACACCAAATATTTTGTGATGAGGCTGGGTAGAAATTATTTTAGTTATAATATGTGAAGCTAAAGCCTAAGTGAAAAAATCAGAAGTTGACGTCAACCAAGAGTTTATCTCTTTTAGTGTATTGCTCCCAAAACCATAGTGTATCATTAGATCAAACTTCCTTCACTGAATGAATTTGCAGCAGTTGAACTCTGTCCCATAAAGCAGTTGTTTTCCTATGATTCTGTACACATGGTACAAACAGACCAGGATTTAAGAACCAGTACATTGCAGAGGGATGTTTTCAGTAGCTACACCTCGTTTGTAGGATAATTAGGGCTGTGAGCCTTTCCAGTGGATACGCTTTAGAAATGAGTATCTCCCCCTCCCACTGCAGTCTTACGCATTCAGCACACCCATTATTCTTTTTAAACTCAAATAAATGGATAATTCATGGGGAGACCATGAGGGTTGACAATTTAATTAATATTGCTTAGGTCTTAGTATACAGGTACAGATGCACTGCAATATTTCTTTTAATTTCTACAAAATAGAACGGAAAGCTCAGTTAGAAGGGACTTCCAAATATCAAATCCAACTGCCGTCCACTTCAGGGCTAACCAAAAGTTAGTGCATATTAGTGAGGGCATCCTCCAGATGCCTTTACTGTTCAAATTATATGTGTTGGTCAGCTTTTGTAAGAGTGTATTTTCAGATTTACCTAATGTTCCCATATCTTCTCTTTGGATTTTTTTTTTACCTGGGTGTTCTAAAAAATGGTTATAAATGCTCCATCACTATCTGACTGGCAGTAGGAGCAAATGCCAACTAACATTTTCTTTTCCACTTCCTGGTATCTGTTAGGAAAATACTTATGTGAGATTTGCTCTGAAACTAATGACTCTTATTTTATTATGCTGGCCTAAGATGCCAGAGGCAAATGTTGGTGTTATGGCAGTTAGAGGCTGAACCTTCCTGCCAATATTCCATTGCATTCTGTTACTGTGCAACATATGACAGCAGAGGGGCAGTCTGACAAAATGGCATTTCACTTGGAAAAGCATATGAAGCAAAAGTGTGTCTCTGAATTCTTCCATGCAAAGAAAATGAAACCCACTGACATTCAACAACACTTGCTGAACATGTATGGAAACCAAACAGTGAGCACAGCGAGGTGGTGAGTGGTGCATTTCAGCAGTGGAAACAGTAATATGGAAGACAAGCCATGTTCTGGATGTCTGTGCAGATATTTACAAGCGTGGCATACAGGCTCTTGTTCCTTGCTAGTGAAAATGCATAGGTAATCATGGTGACTGTTAAAAAGTCTGCTATAACAAACAGTGTTATTTTACTCTTTGAATCTGTGCTAGTTTCCATGGAAATAAATAGGAGGCATTACTTTCAGAGCGACTTATGCATAATACAGCTTACGTTTTCTTCTTGGATAAATTTCTAGATCAGAGTAAAACCTGTCATAACAACATTGGTTTCTTAATGCTTGATAATAGTGATTTAGTATTTCATTTGAACACATGTGATATTTATTCGTTACTCTTCGTTCATGAACAACTTGTTACTTAGAACAGTCAGTTGTTTAAAATACAATTTATTAACAGTTTATTCATATCCAAAGTAGAAATAGCTAAATATCAAGAATTACTAATTTTGTGCATAGTTTTCTTTTCTTGTAATGGATTTAAAGAAAATCTTTGAACCATGGCAATCAGAAAAAAAGTTCTCAATTAAACAATATTTTGAATTGGTTTTAACTTCCTGTTTATTAAATATTGTGTTTTTAAATAAGAACATCCTTGCTTCTAAGGTAAGGCTCACTAAGTTGGGTAAAAAACATTATAGGTGGATACTCATTGACTTTGGTCAGATTTTTCACAAATACTGTGAGTCTGACCACAGTGAATTACAAGAGGTAGAAGGACCAGTGTTTTTTCTTTGAAGCTGTAGAGGAACTGTAACAATCTGGGTTGAAATGCAGCATCTAGATTCTATGGCCAGTAGGCAGGACTACGTAAATGGAAATAACTGAGCCTCTTTGCATATACTCTGTGATGAAATGTGTTGCCCTGGTATGTGCTGTCATATATATACTGAAGAGGTTGTGTATTTTGAACATACGGGGAAAAAAAGCTGAGCATCTCCCAGGATAAGAAAAGAATCATTTTTTTATAGTTATATTTATGAGAGAATTGTGCCTCCTTTTTTAATTACCTGCATAGTCTTTTCTTGCACAGCATACTAAATTGAGCAAGCACTTGGATAAAATAATAATATCATAACATATTTGATAAAAAGTGATGGAGATAAATTATAGTTATAAATGGCAGCACACTGTCAGGAGCATTTCAAATGGTGGTGATGACAGTGACACTACGTTTTATTTCTTAACAACTTAACAGTAATAATTTGTAAGGAGGAGTAACTCAGATGCAATTGAATTAAGCTGAAGGTGACATGGAAGACCTGATTTTTTCAATTTTTCTTGTGTGAATGCTTTTATTAAGAAGGCTGGAAATAATGTGATGTGTTCAGTGGCCTACTGGCCTATGTAAAAGCTCAGTTCTGCATATTTAAACTTAAAATGTTAAATCATGTAGTGACACTGGAGATGTTGTGATAGTGCTGACTGCAGACTAGAAAAGTCATCAGGAATTGGTCAGAAAGGAATTTACTTTGAAGAAGGGGGGAATCTCTGATATGACAAAGATGAAAAGACATGCTTTCAGAAATACGCTTTCACTAATGGATGTTTATATCTGCAGGATCTGCTGTGATAATCTGGTCCAACATCAGAATAAACTAAGCTGCAAATCTTCATCTGACTTCTGCATCAACTTTGTTGCTTCAATATAATTGCTCTATGTCCCTGCATATTGATCTGATGAGGAGCCTAAAATATTTTATAGCATTTCTAATCTGAGGTTTTTCTAGTTTCCAGCCACTGGATCTTCTGCTTTCTTCTGCTTTTTTTCTGCTAGCTGCTAAAGCTGTTTTTTCTTTTTTTTTTTTTTTTATGCCTTGTGCCATGTGCTATAACTGACCCAGCCACTGGATCCTATGTGCTTTGATCCATTTCTAATGAAGCCTATGACCCTGTTCATACCTCTGGTTCTGTACGGCAAAAATCTTAGTGCAGACCTATGGCTGCAGTTGCTATTTAAGAATGGGGGAGTGGTCTGCACAAGCTGCTTTTCATCAGAAAAAAAGTAGTTAAAAAACCTCGTTCTTGTCCAATGTGCCTTGGTCAAGTTTTGCCTTGAAGAGAACTCTCAGAGAACCT